CCACCATCCTCACCATCACATACTCCTCACCATTTGCATTATCACCAGTATTACTGCTATCAACATTATCAATATCACCCCCCTCACCACCATCACTTCACTGGACTCCCCACCATCATCACAGGCATCAGAACATTCAACAATGAGCCCAGTACCATCATGGGCGCCATCACCCTCACCATTCTCAGACCAGCCTATAACTTTCCCTAACATCACATAAAGGGTGCATTTCCTAGAGTCAGCCCTTTATCATCTTTTGCGCACTCCTTCCTTTATCCCTCTCTCTCAGAATGCCTTCACCCTCTCTGTACCAGGTCACTAATTCATAACCCCAAGCTTGCATGAAGATGGCCCACCTAATCTCGAGTGATGCCGCCACCCCATGGGGCTCACAGGGGAAGGGGGAGCAAAGGAAATCCCTTCCAGTCCTGGAAGCACCCCACCACCACCACCTAACCACAGCCCTAGGGAAATGCAAACTTTCCCCTCTAGTCTGAGAACCTGCCACAGAAAAACCACATTTATGCCTTCCAAAGGCATAAGCCTCGGTTTCTAGACTGGGCCTTGACCATGGACTCCCTTGCCAAAGTGGGTGGGGGTGGTTTTGATAGTCTCTACAACCCCTCCAGGCTCAAATATCCTGTAACTCTTTATTAAGAGATGTGACATTGGGACAACCAGGTCTCCATGTTTCAGGACACAGTTGCCAAAGATCTTGGTAACATGAACTATGTGGGTTCTCCCTCCGAGCCAGTGGGGATAATCCAGGATGAGGGTTTGGCAATGAATGAGGAGGAGCATTTTGAGCCCTGGGTCCTGGCCCGGTCCCCCTGAGGACCGCAGGACCAGTGCAGGCTTCCCACCCTACCCCCATTGCCGCTTCCAGCCTCACGCTGGAGACTCACTCCTTGCACTGGGGCACCTGAAGGAAGTTGAGGTGGACGATGCCTTTCACGTTGGCACGGAGGGTGAAGAGGCCACCCAGGAGGTAATCCCCAGCCAGGTAGAAGGCTGAGTTCTCAGCTGGCACAGCCAGGACCTGCAGCAGGATGAACACGGAGCAGACTGCCTTGGCCTGGGGTCCTATGGCTGAGAAGTGGGGGTCCCTGGAGGTGGCCCTGACTCATCAGAGAGCTGGCAGCTTGACACCAGGGGATTTGCACAGACATTTACATGTGCATGGCCCATGGGGCGGGGAAAGCACCTGGGACAGATGGAGAGGTTTGAGAACTCTGGAGGGGAAGGAGGATTCTGCAGTCCTGGGATCGAGTCCCGCATCGGGCTCCCTGCTCAGCAGGGAACCTGCTTCTCCCTCTGACCTTTCTCTCTCTCATTCTCTCTCTCAAATAAATAAATAAAATCTTTAAAAAAAAAATATTTAAGATGATCCTTTCCTCGGGCACGTGGGACCTGGGTGGCCTGGGAGAACCCCATGTGGAAGTAGAGAAAGCATGTCCTGCTAACTTGGACACTCCCCAGCCTTCTGCCACTTGATTGAGAACAAGTTTCATGCCCCTAATGTTTCCAACATTTGGGAGTCCAGGACACAGATACTCACCCAGGAGACAGAGTAGGCTGGCAAATGGATCCCAAGCTTTAGAGCCTGATCAAGTGGAGCCTGGCATATAGTAATTCATATACGGCATCTGACCCATAGCAGGAGTTCCAGAAGTAGCAGCCGTTGTCAATAAGAACCAGGCATCATGCTACGCGCTTGCCATTCACCATCTCGTTTAATGCTCACGATGACCAGGACTATCACCCAGCCCCGTTTCACAGATGAAGAAACTGAGGCACAGAGCAGTTAAGAAACCCGCCCCTGGTTGCACAGCCAGCAAAGCTGGGATTCAAATCCCACAGTCAGATTTTAAGGCCTGGCTCTTAATCTCCATGATATATTACATCATGAAGTGATTTCCTTTGAGAAAAAAAAAAAAAAAAAAACCAGGAAAGCAGCCACAAAGAGAATGGAGGTGGGAGTATGGGGAGGCAGCGGCCATCTGTTAGCGCAACAATCCATCAATCAGCTCTGCTGAGTGAGCCCCCTCGGGGCACCCCTTTGCACCCAGCACCAAGGGGCGGGGGTACTGTCAAAAAGGAAAGCTGAAAATTTCCACAGTCAAAGGCGACTACCCCCAAGGAGTGGGATGGAGGGGGAATGGTTCCAGCAAACCAGGCACCCATTTGAATCAGAGACCCAGACCACGTAATGTCGTGTTGGTCCTTGCCAGCCCTAATGATGCATGGCCTAGTGGGAGCCTCGGGGCACCTGCTGTGGAACGCCCAAAGCAGACAGGTCCCATCAGGGCCCCTGGGGTCCAGGGCTATGGGGAGAAGAGGCCTCAAGGCAATAAAAGCTGACCCAAGTCCCCACGGTCTCACCCTGTCCCACTCCAGCCGAGCCTGGCTCCTCCTTCAAGGGCTCGTCGGAGCCTTGCCTCCTCCAGGAGACCGTCCCTGGCCCCAGGGCACGGGAACCACCCTGGCTCTGATCTGCAACGGCCCTCCGGTCCGAGTGGTCACGGGGCACGGCTCAGCCTTACATGCTTGACTGGTTCCCGCCCATGACTCTGTCCACACTCGAGGCAGCTTGAGGCAACATGACTCTGGCCAACCTGGAGTGAACAGCGCGGTTTGCTGTGTGATCACAGGCAGGTACTAACCTCTCTGAGCCCCCGTTCTCTCCCCTCCTGAAATGGGGACAATAACTCCAGCCTCGCCGGATGGGGGTGGGGATTACATAAAATGGCACGTGGGAACCGGGGGGTGCAGAGCAGACCCTGGAGAAAGGTAAGTTGGCCGAAGTGCAATATTGTCCCTTCCCGTAAGGAAATGAACTGCCACGGGGGGCACCACGGACGCTGGACCTTGCAGAAAGAGCCCAAAGCTTCGTGAAGCTCCCCTGAAAGGTGCTGGATATCTTTAGCAGCTCCGGAGGGAGCACCTCTCCCTCACCTGGACCCCTCCTGTGGTGAAGTCATCCCACAGACATTCAGAACGACAGGAAAAGCCTCCTGGTGATGTGGAAACACGCAGGATTTGCTGTGTGATCTTGGGCCTGTCGCTGCCCCTCTCTGCAAAGCAGCCATTTTTACTCCCATTTTTAAAAACAAGGAAACTGAGGGGCATCTGGGTGGCTCCGTGGGTTGAGTCTGCCTTCGGCTCAGGTCATGATCCCAGGGTTCTGGGATCGAGCCCCACATCGGGCTCCCTGCTCAGCAGGGAGTCTGCTTCTCCCTCTGCCCCTCCCCCTGCTCATGCTCTCTTTCTCTCTCAAATAAATAAAGTCTTAAAAAAAAAAAACAAGGAAACTGAGGCTGAAAGATTAAGCAACTTGCCAAGAGTCACACAACTAATAGGATTTAGACCCAGGCCGCCCCAGCTCTTAACCCCCGAGCTGTCTGACTTTGGTGTGGTCTTTCCACAGCAGCTGTTGCCATGATGCCCACCATGGGGGGGCGCGGGGGCCGCGCGCTGCCCGCCCCTCTGCAGGTGCCGCCCGGAAGCCAAGGTGCTAGAGAAGGACCAATCATTCCAGGGCATGATGACCACACACTGCCGTTCTGAAGAAGGAGAACCAAGATGCCGGTTGTGGACAGGCTCTGGGACGTCCTGGAGACTCCCAGCAAAATCAGCCAGGCTGGGGGTTAAGCAGATGGTAGAGAAAGAAAGCATCGAAATTAACCGGAGCCCCTGGGCGCGGGCCCAACCCCAGGGTGCGGGGGTGGGGGTGGAAGACAAGGTTGGCCAAGAAAGCCATTCACCCAGTGGGCACTGGTGAGCCCCCCATGTGGCAGGGCCAGGTGGGGCCCAAGGGCCACAGCCGGGACACACGGGGATATGGCCTCCGTGGAGGAGGCGGGGTCTGGGCCACGCGGCCTGGGAGGACAATGGCGGCGAGGCACATGGTCACTTCCATTGCTAACGTGTTCTACGGGCTCATGACATGCCAGGCACGGAGTAGAGTCCTCTCCATCCCCGCCATCCTTCCGATGTGCTACTGTTCTGTCTCCATTTGGCAGATAAGGAGGATAAGGTTCAGAGAGGGACAGTAACTTCTCCAAAGCCACACAGCGAATATGTGGATTAGAGAAATCCGGGGCCCTAATAGGGGCTGCAGGAAATGGTGGCGCCTGAGGGGCTCCAGTGAGAAAGGAATAAGGGCCCCCTTGACAGGGATGATCTCTCCGAGGACCAAAATCTCTTGAAGAAGGAGCACTGGACAGAGAGTCAGGAGTCCTGGCTTCCGGGCCCGCTTTGCCCCAACTACCCTTGGGCAAATCACTGCCGTTCTCTGGGCTACAGTCTCCCTACCTGTAAAACTGCCTCAGTGCTTCTTAACATTTCAGGGCCAAGGATCCCTTTGAGAGTCTGACGAAAGCCCTGGACACGGATGCACACAGAGGGGCAAGTGGGTGAGGCTGGGGTGCTGGCTGCGCTGAGGACAGGCACCCGGCAACCCGCGGCGCTGTGACTCGTTCAGGGCCGCACGCACAGCACGTGCTCCAAGGTGGCCGGGACCCGGCACAACTGTCACCCTCACGGCCCAGTCCAGGCCCGAGTCCCCATGTTCGCACCTGTGTGGCCATCGGCGGCCAAGGTGGCAGAGAGCCATGACAGGCTTATGCAAAGTACACGGGGGAGAGGAGACAAGGACACGGGGGTCAGGAAAAGCTGCCCATTTGCCTTGCGTCTGCTTTCCCCCACCCCCCGCGCTCACAGAAAGAAACTGGCCACATTTGCTTTGGTCTGGAAGGAGCTGCCCTGAACCTCCCTCCTCCCCCTGCCGTGATGGTTGGAGGGGGGATAGAGCCCAGGGGGCGCCCCAAAGAGAGGCCTGACCCAGGGACTGGGGGCTGCGTCAGCTCCTCTCTTCTACCCGACCCTCCAGTCTCTCTACCGACTTGCACATCGTTCCCTCTCCTGCTCTGCACCCCCCAAGCCCCCCCTCCAACCCACCCCAGCATTTTCCTTCCCTTTCTTCCCTGCCTGTGCCGCCTCCTCCAGAACGAAATTGGGCAGCTGGAAACCTAGCTCCAATCTGGCCCCGGGGCGGGGGCTGGGGGGGGGCCCAGGGGCAGCAGGACCTCCGCCCCCGACAAAGGTCTGGCAGACAAACAGCCGCCTGGTTCAGAGACACCCCGGAGGAGAGGGTCCCTCAGGAGGCCTCAGAGCCAGTTCTCAGGAACCCCACCTCATCAGTCACTCCTCTGAGAGAAGTTTCAAAGTCAAAAGTGGAGCGGATGGTGTGGCCCCTGAAGGAGGCCACGGGGTGGAGCAAGAAGCAGAAACCATGTCCCGCAGGGAGCCGATGAAGGAATGAGGACATTCAGCCCGGGGAGGAAGGCTCAGCGAGCTCTTGCCAGGAGCGGAAGGGGCCCGGACGGGGAAGGGGGTGGTCCTGTTCCGTGCAGCTCTAAGGGTCCAGCCCAGCCCGGGGGTCAGGGGCCAGGGAGCAGGCCCTGACTCCTCTCCACTTCCTCGCCTCTAAAATGGCCACAGGCCCCCTTGATGAGGGCGAGTCAATGGGATGAATGCGTCAGGAATCTGCTCAGCGAATGATCGCAAACATCATACACCACAGTGTCAAGGGCTTTGTTCCTGGCCTGGCGCTCTCGATTTTAACCCCGATAAAACGCTGGGCTCTAGGACTCTGCACGGCCCTCTGAGGCTCCCATCTGCCCAGCCTGGTTTCCGATCCTGGCTCTGCCACTTACTGGCTGTGTGAGCTCCCCCAGGCCTGTCCCTCTCTGAGCCCCGCTCTGCTCCCGAGGCCTGCTGGATGCACGTCACGGAGCAGGTGCCCGATGGCACCTCGGCTCCCTTGCTCTGCCCCGCCCGCCCTGCCGCCCCCCGTGCCAAGCGCTCCAGGGGCTGAGGGCGACTGCCTGGCCGCAGGGGGTCTGGAGGGAGGACATGGCAGAGCCCTTGGGCAGAATTCCAATGTCCATCGGGCACCTGGGGGTGTATCGACCTTGTCCCACCATCCAGGGAGGCTGCCAACAACCCGAGTGAGAGTGGAGATGGCTGCTTGTGTTTGGAGCCACAGTGACAGCCGTGCCTCATGCCGCCCACTCGCCGGGTGGCTCCCACCCAGAAGCTGCTGGGTTCCTGCAAGGGACCAGGGCGAAGGGACCAGGGGCTGCTGGTATGGTCCCCAGGGAAAGTTCTGTCCCCGCCCCTGACTGAGCGGGCCTTCCTTCCCTGGGCCTGTTTCCTCATCTGGGAAACAGGGCAAAAAGAATACCACCTCCCGTATGGCCCCAGATAACTGGTGGGAGCCACTGGCCCGGTGACAGGTGCTCAGGGACGCCTGGGCACAGGTATCCAGGACGAAGGTGTGGGGGAGGGTGGAACATAACAGGTTCTTATTCACCGAGCACCTTGGTCTGCAGGGTACGTATCATGTGATCCTCAGCTCCCCAAGAAAGTCTGAGGGGGGGAGTGAGGGCCAAGCCTCGGGGGGGGGGGGTGGCTAAGACGGGACGGGATCCCAGGCCTGCCTGACACCAGGCCTGGCAGGCAGAGATGGGGACCATCTGCTGGTGTACGAGTTACTTCAGCCACCCATGCCTCAATCTCCCCATCTGTAAGAGGGGCCTCCAGGGGCTGTGGTGAGGCTCTGCAGATGTGGCGCAAAGCCTGGCCCACGGCTGCAGCCACAGAATGTGGCTCCTGACAGACCACACGCAGGGACCGCGCCCACCGTGGCTTCAGGAAAACGAAGTCACAAGCTTGTGAAGAGGGTGGGTCTCCACCCTGCCTCTTCCTCGAGTGCCCCCCCAAGCCACCCCCCACAGGGAAGCTCTGGGTTAGCCTGGAGGCCAGGAGCCGGCACAGGTGGCCCCTCATTTCCCTAGAGCGCATGCCCGACTGGCAGCCCGTGGGACACTTGTGGCAGGGATATCCGGCCCCAGTCAAATGGTTCACGCTCCGAGCCCAGACTGGTGGCCGGGCCCCCGACCACTGCAGGGAAATGAGGAGGCTCCTCGGGCCCCTGCGGACACGGGCACTGATGGGGGCGACCATGCAAAGGGGGCGGGCACCGGGCCCTCAGGAGCCACCAGCCGCAAGTCAGGGCGCCAGAGCAAAGGAAGGGAAGGAAGGGCTTGGGGCCCCCTCCCTGCCTCCCCCTCCCCCAGCCCTATAATTAAAAGGAGGCAAAGGCACCGGGGGGGGGTGTTGCAATGGAAAAGAAACAGCTAGAAATCATGGACCTGACAGAGCGGCTGGCAAGGAGCACGGGCTGTGGACACACAGCCCCGGGTTCAAACCCTGGCCCCTCTATGAACCTGCCGCATGACCTCTACTAGTCCTTCCACAGAAGGCAGGTAACAGCCAGTAAGGTCAATGTCGGCTAGATGAGACCAGTTAGATAAAGCCAACTCTGTTGTGTCAATGTGACCCTGAGCAAGCCACTTCATTTGCTCAAAGACACTAACCAGCCCTACACATCCGCTATAAATGCAGCCACCACCCTTCCCGCCTGGGAGCTCCAGCCAGGGCCCTCTGGGGGCAGCCCTTTGTCCCCGAGTGAAGAAGCCCCCTCTGGCACAAATCCCTGGTAGCCCCTGGGGAAGCCAGTTGGGGGTGCTGCAAAGGGCAGAGTCTCCATCCCCTCCCCACAGCTCTTGAGATCCTGCCCACCAACAGCCCTGATCAATGAACCCTGGGACAGGGAGGTGTCACTCGTCTAGGAGCTCTTTTTACGTCCTTTGGAGGCAGGCCAGGCCAGTTTCCCCTCCACGTTGGCCAGCCAACATGGACTTCAACCCACAGATTGTGGGCTCAGGCTAACTGGCCGGGGTTGTTTGCCAGCCCCCACCCCCCCCCACCCCCCATCATTTGGTCTTTCCAAGGTAGGTCAGTGCTGTGTATGGACATCTGGGGGGAGGACAGCAAATGGGTTTGGGAACCACAGGCGTGGCTTTATGTCCCAGTGATAGACCATACCCTTGGCAAGCCCCTTCATCCCCTGTACCCGTCTCCTCTTCTGTGAAATGGGAGCATGGCAGCGTGTGACTGTGTGAGAAAACAGTCCTCCAGAGAAGCAGAACCAACAGCATACACAGATTTATTGTAAGGAAACTGCTTGCACAATCTTCTAGGCTTGGTTAAGTGCAGAATCAGCAGAGTAGGCCAGCGGGCTGAAGACCCAGGGAAGAGTCACAGCTGAGTCCAAAGGCTGTCCATCGGCAGAATCCCTTTTTGCTTGAAGGAGGTCAGTCTTTGTTCTATTGAGGCCTTCAACTGATTGGATGAGGCCCACCCACAGTATGGAGGACAATGGGTTTTGCTCTGAGTCCAGTGATTTAAATGTCAATCTCATCCAAAAACCACCTTCATAGAAACATCCAGAATGTTTAGCTAAATACCTGGGCCCCAGCTAAGTTAGCCCAGCTAAGTTTTCACATAATCCTAACCATCACAACACAGTAACAATGGCTGTTGCAATGTATTCGTGGTTAACAAGGTTGAATCATTAATTCTGTACCTGGCATAGTTCTAAACAGTTACATGATCTCATTCAGTCGTCACGACAATCAGCGTGCATGTGCATGTGCATGTGTTTGTGTATTAGTCCCCATCTCACAGATAAAGAGAGAGAAGATCAGGGAGCCTGCACAACTTTCTGAAGGCAGAGAGCCGGGATCTGAACCCATCTGACTCCCGAATTCCCATACCTCCAGCCCATATTCCCCAAAATCAGCATCCACCGTTCCTTCCATCACACCGAGGGCCCTCACTCCTGGACGTGAAGGACGTATGAGCAACATATGTCCCACACATCAGCCTTTGTTTGAAGAAGCTAGCCAGCCCCCAACACCCCCACCAGAAAGATCGCGATTTGATTAAGTAACAAGTATTTATTAGGATGGCAGCAGAGCGAATCACACCGCCACCTCACTGTGTCGCACCAGTAGAACCAGGCCCACCTCCAGCGCCTCTCCCCAGCCGACTGCCCTGGCCTCTCCAGGCAGAACCTGCGCTCTGCCCCGGAGGCCTGACCCCGGGCCGTGGGCCACAGTGGCAACCATGGCGCTCGGTGGCCAGCCTCATGGGGACCCCTGCCGGCGGTCCTTCACGAAGGGCCAGGACTCTTGGGGACCCTTAAAAACTGTCCTCCGAAGTCACCCCTTATTGATCCCCAGCCCCCTGCAGTCTAATTTGCAGGTGTTTCTGAGTGTCCACCAGCTGGATGCATCAAAGAACGGGGCCGCCTAGGGGCCAGTCCACACAGAGCCACCTCTGTGCAAAGGAGGGAAGGTTCTACGGGCCATCCTCAGCTCAGGCCAGAGGGGAACCCAAGGCCAAGTCTCAGGGCTGGGAGAAGGTGGGAGCAGTCTCCCCAGGCCTGTTCTACCACAGCTGGTGAGGGCCGAGCCCCTGCAGGAAAGCCTGGGCCAACACAGGCGGGGAGGTGTGAGCCGATCGCAAGCTGAGATAGATGGCACCAAGGCCCACCCAGGGTTTTCCAAAACCATAGCCCAAACGGGAAGGCCCACCAAATCCTGTACCTCGGCAGATAGTTTCTGCCGGCCCCCCAAGCCCACCACACGAAGACTGCCAGGAATCACGCGGGCCTCGGGAGAACACAGGTGCCTGGGGAAAGGCGCACGGGTGTCTAAGGCATATGGTCAGGCCCAGGTACCTGCTGGCCCAGGTGGGCGTGGGCCAACCGCTGGTGAGGAAGGTGGGCAGCCCAGACCAAAGAGGGCCAGGCCAGCTGGTGCCCCCGTGCCCTGCAGCCACCCCAGGTCACACCTCATCCTGGAGCCCTGGAGGAGCCAAGGCCAAGGCCAGGAGACTCTGTGGATGCTCAGGTTCGCCAAGGGGCCCAGAGCTGCTTCCCTGTCCTGTAAGGGATCCTGGGAGGCACTCTATTGCCATTCCCCCGGTCCCTAAGCCACTGGGCCGCAGCATAGAAGAAGACAGGCGGGGAACCTGCCAGATAAAATCTCTACAACAACCGTGATAAAGGGGTGGCAGCCCTGTTCCTCCCCAGCACGGTCTCAAATCAGAGCCCGCACCTGCCCCCGAGGGGTGGGACAGGCCAGCATGTAGCCCAGTCAGGGCAAGGGGGCAGTCTCGGCCCTGGAAAGGCGGCCGTGCCACGGGGAGCAGGTCAAAGGGGCTGGGGTGGGACCAGGGCACTGAGGTCAGCCGTCCGGACAAACAGCAGAGGCGCCGAGCGGGGCTCACTGCATGTAGGCGTAGCACCAATCCCCCAGAGGCTCGTGGGTCTCCTTGATGACCTGGGGCGACGTCCAGCGCAGGATGTAGTGGGGTCCCCCTGGCTTGTCATTGGTTCCTGTGGAAAACACAGCTCTGTTTTTCTCTGAAAAGATAGGGCAGCTCCAGGCAGAAGGGAAAGGGGTGGGAAGAGCTGACAGACTAACCGGGGCACCAGCACAGGCAATAAGCAGCTCAACAAAAACTGAATGTGTCCACGAGGCCAGGGTTTCCTGAGCACGCCCAGGTGGAGGTCAGGTGAGGCAGGACCCACGCTCCCCGGGTCCATGTGCCCCACCTGCCCAAGGGGTGTCTGGGAGCACTGTGGAGAGAGCACTGCACTGGGAGCCAGGAGCCCTGGGTTCTGGCCCTGGCTTTGCACTAAGGCAGCTGGGATCTAGGGTGAGTCACCGCCCCACTCTGGGCCTCAGTTTCTCCATTTGTAAATAGGAGGAGTTGCACTGAGGTGACCCAGAGCACGGTGGTAAAAGGCGTGGGTGGTGGAACCAAAATGCCAGCTCTACTACTTCCTAGCCATGTGCCCTTGAGCAAGCCACTCCAGCTCCCTGTGCCTCAGTTTACTCCTCTGTAAAATGGGAAGAACTCTACCTTCCTTAACTCCAGCCCACAGAGTTTGCTATTACTCTTAATACCCTTGACGTGAGGGGTGTTAAGGCAGGTTCTGACCTCCTGAGAGAACCTGCCTCCCCTCTGGAAAGGAGGACGCACTCACCAGAGGCTCGGGCCCCCCCAAAGGGCTGCTGGCCCACCACAGAGCCAGTGGACTTGTCGTTGATGTAGAAGTTGCCGGCCGTGTTCCTCAGCATCCTTGTGGCCTCCTGGACAACATCCCTACACGGCAGGGCAGCGTTAGGGCAGCCGGCTCACCTGCCCCCAGCCCAGCCCACACTGGCTGCCTGGCTGACGGGGGCTGGGCCACAGGGGCTCTAGACCCCTCGGGCGGGGTCTGAGAGCCTCTGAGCCCCCTCCTCCTCTGGGAAGTGGCTAGCATGTCTCCCTCGCAGGGCTGCTACAAGAGTGGAACGGGAGGGTGAGGGTCAGGCTGCATGCACTCAGGGAGTGGCCCATTCTGGTCCAGTTTTCCTGGTCCCCCAGGAGCTGGGGGAACCCCCAGGCCCCCACCCTGCCCCAGGTTCCAATCTCATCTCCACCTTAGAGGCAGACGGGGCAGCAGCTAGTGCCACTGAGAAAGGAAAAGAAAAGGGTTTAGCATCATGGCATCCTGGCTCAAATGTGGCCTCTGCAAGATGAGCAGTGAGCCCCTGGACCCTGAGCCCAGTTTTTCTGCTCTGCAGCATGAGGCAATGACCTTGCTGAGCGGGGCTCCATCGGACCCAGGGGAGCTGGTCAAAGGCTTGTATGCTGTGGCCCTGCCCCTAAAGATTTAGTTCCGCTGCCTCTGTGTCCCTGTGCTTGGGATGCCTGCCTGCCAGTCAGGGCTGAAGAGGGGCAGGGGCGGCATTAGCACTAGGATCCTCATCCAGGGGGTGGGTGCAGGACAGGGTGCGGCAGGACACAAGGCCAACAGCGCAAGGCCGGTGGCCACTCACTTATCCTGGGCGAACACTGCCCCCGTGAGGCCGTAGCTGGTGGTGCTGTCGACCAGCCGCAGCGTCTCCTTGTACTTGTCGTCCGGGTAGACATAGACGGTCAGCACCGGCCCGAAGATCTCCTGAGACAGAAGCCCCAGGGTCAGACTGCACCCGGACCGGAGCCCCAAGGCCTCCCAGTCCCCCTGCTCTAAACTCTGCCACTCGCCTGTCCCCCCGCCTCGGTCTACACCTCAGCACCTGCAAGAAGGCCAGGCACCTCCCGCAGGGCTCCCTCAGGAAAGAGCCACGCCCGGTTCCTGCCCCGCCGACCCCATCCCAACCTGGCAGAAGATCCCAGGAACTGGCCCTTGGTGCCAGCCAGACCCACACCTGAGAGCAAGACTCCTGGCAGCAACTGGCACAGGAACTGCCCAGCAATATCACGGTCCCCCTGGCCACCCATGCACTGCCATCCTGGGCAAGTGCTTTGACCCCTCGGAGCCTCAGTTCCTCATCTGTAAGATGGGAACAATAACACCGATAACACCCTCTCCTCTCAGTCAAGGGCCCAGCTGTCACCACAGGCCGTAGAAGTGCTAGGACACCGCCAGGCTCAGCAGTGTCCAGGACACAGCCCTGGATTTGGGGTCAGGAGGCCTGAGTTCAAGGCCTGGCTCTGCTCTCGCTGGGAATGAGACACTCCCTTTCTAGGACCTCACACTCCCATCTGTGAAATGGGGTAGCACCACAAGAAGGAAGCAACACACAAGCGTCCCGTGTGCGCTGCGCTCAGGGGAGACTGACGTCTATGTCCCAGGCTGCCCAGCCCACTCACCTCCTTCATGATAGGCTCCTGAGGGTCCTTGCTCTCGATGATGCAGGGCTCCACGAAGTAGCCCACAGAGTCGTCACACTTGCCCCCGGCCAAGATGGTGAGGCTGGGTGAGGAGCGCGCGTGCTCCAGCCACTTCTTGATGCGACCGAATGACTGGGATGGGTGGGAAGGAAGGGGTGTCACAGATGGGCTGGGGAGGCCACTCCCCAGCAGCAGCGCCCCCAACACACTTGCTCCTGAAGGGCCCAAATTCCGGAACGGGGGAATGGGGAGAGGGCAAAGCCAGGGTCTGGCCAAGCCACGGCAGAAACAAGGACACGCACGCCCATTTGAGAGAGAGAGAGAGAGAGAGAGAAAGAGAGAGAGAGTGTGTGTGTGTGTGTGTGTGTGTGTGTGTGTGGCAGAACCACAATTATACTTACAGAAACACAACACACATGAATGTACACACAGGCATGTGCACGGCCACGAGGCTTCATGCATAACTACATGTTTATATGCATGTCTGTGTTACACATACATGTATGAACGCACACAGCCATCTATATACAAACAAACGTACACATGAACACGTGTGTGCACACACGAGGTGTATCTGTTCATGTTGGAGAAGGTGCAGAGGCGTGTATGTGGGCGTGTCTGCTTCCACGGGTGACCCACACACCTGTCTACACACCCAATCAGTGTGTTCGTGGGCACACGCACGCACATGTGTGTCTGAGCGCATGCTGCAGCCCTGCAGGCCGTCTGCGCACGCGTGTGTGGACCTGCACTTAGTGGGGGCTTGTCCAGCCTCAGTGCGGGATGCGCGGGAAGCAAGTTGTCTGGTTACAGATGTTTCTGCCGGTTTCAAAGCGCAGGGTGGGGGCGTCCGTGTGGCCACCGGGCTGCCTTGCCGGAAGCAGTGGGCCCGGGTCAGCCCCAGTCAAGGCCCCCACATCTCCTCCTCCCTCTCCCACCCGGAGCAGGGCCCGGCCCCCCAGGAACGCCTGCTTCTCGCCCGTACCTTGGCATCAATCACGGCAGAGAAAAAGGTCCCAAAATCCTCTGCTGGCTGGAGGCGAGGGAGGCACCAGAAGAACTGGAGTCACCACAGGCCGGAGACAAAGGGAGCCCCTGCCCCGCACAGCGGCCCCCCCCCAACCCCGGCCCGCACACCGCCCAGGAGCCTCCAATCCCATCAGCCACCCGCTGGGCCGCGGCGGGGAGGCCGCGCCACTCACGTCGCCCACTTTGATCCTGCCATGCTCCTGCAGCAGCCGCCCTTTGATCTGCGGCCACAGCGACTGCGGCACATAGAGGCGGGAGCAGGCTGAGCACTTCTGGCCGCCATACTCGAAGGCTGAGCGCAGGGTCCCGCTCACCACGCTGTCCACGTCAGCTGAGCGGTGCACGAAGTGGAAGTTCTTCCCCCCAC